GTTTTTGCTCATTTTTTTATTGCAATAAGATTATTGAGATTCAATTTTTTTAAACCTTGAGTCTAAACTTACTTTGACAGTATGCATACCAAAAATTAAAGCCTTAAACTGCTCAGTTTTGATGGGAGATGTATCTTTAGATTTTAAGATTAAAAGGTAGAAGGTATTGTTTTATTTAGGGAGCATTTAACTATAAAATGGTTGACTGACTGCGATTTCCAGTGCCCTGGTTTGGAGTGTGGAGGGTGAGGGGTGTGGAGGTGGGTGGGAAGGATTTAATGGCCTCAGTGTTGTGCTGTCATCTCCCACAGCTGACCGGTCCTCCCCCACCCCCGGCCAGCTCCCCTTTGGCCACTGCCAGCACCACTGCCTGGAGTAGCTTTGAGTTTTATCAGTCGCACACCCATCATTGCATTTGATTCTCACAACCACTCTGTGATGGAATATAGGCTCATGTCATTATCTCCGTTTTATACGAGGAAACCAAGTGCTCACGAGCCCCAGATTAATGCCAGTGAGGAATGTAGCTGATACTAAAGTCCCAAGTTTCCTCAACACATTGACTCCTTTTATTTTTTATTATACTGTGATGAGTAAGAGGAAACGTATATAAATGATTAACAACTTAGTAAAGCTTCATTTTATTACAGCAGTAAGGATTTAAACTATGCAGAACATTTACAAAATATTGAACTATAGAGACCAGCTGGGTTTGACGTCTCAGATTTGAGGACTCACAGAGGCTCTTTCAGTCTAGTTTTATAAAAAAAAAAAAAAAGAGGGATCCTCAGTGGATTGAGTGTGGGCTGCGAACCAAAGTGTCGCAGGTTCGATTCCCAGCCAGGGCACATGCCAGGCTTGCAAGCCACAGCCCCCAGCAACCGCACATTGATGTTTCTCTCTCTCTCTCTCTCTCCCTCCCTTCCCTCTCTAAAAAATAAATAAATCTTTAAAAAAAAAAAGAGGGATCTTAGTGCTGTGTAGTATTTTTAGGTCTGGTCATGACCGTGAAATTACCCTACTAGAAAGGTTTACACCTCTACCAAGAGTTCATTCTTTTTTTCCAATGAAACATCCATGCCACACGCAATCATGCCCTTTTGTTTGAGTTGCTTTGTAATCTCTTGACAGCAGAGGAAACCCAGCCCTGGTTCCCTGGGCACAGCCTGCACTCAGACCTGCTCTTGTCATTTGCAGGCCCTGGGACAGGCCTGGAGGAGATGCGGGGCCTGGGCCAGCTCCAGGGCGAGGCCACTGAGGCAGTGTGTTTCAATAGACGAGATCAGCAACGGTGCCATTCGGAGCCATGCTGGAGCTTGAGAGGGAAGCAGAAACCCATACTGATCCTATCTCTTGTCCAATGTCAAAATTACAACTTTCAGTGTTTTGCTTATTATGGACTTTGTGCATTCATTTTAACTTTTTGACATATTGCATGAAATATTTACTAATTGTGGTTTGTGAGCTTTTGATGCCCCTAAATTTCGCAGCTCTGGCAAGTGTCTCCTCACTTACCTCAGCCTAGTCTCTGTCCCACCTCGGGCCTCAGGACGCACACAAAGGGGACAACGTCCACCTGGCCACAGGCTGGGGAAGAGGTCTGCACAGGCTCCCCCAGTGGGCCCAGGGCTGTCAGGGAGGGGAATTCCAAGGGTGTGGCTGTGAGAAGTGGGGGTGTGGCTCACAGGTGGACAGGTGCCCTTAGGTCCCCTGTTCCTTGCTCATGGAGAGGAGAGTGGCTGGAGGAGGGCCGAAGCAGAACCCTCTGGAGAGCAGTGCTCAGCCTCAGACTCTCTTGGAGGGCTTGGGAAGACTCGGAGGGCTTGGATTCCGGAGCAGTAGGTCTGGGGTGGGGCGCAGGAGTCTCCATGTCTAACGCATTCTCCCGTGCTGTGGCCTGAGGAGCACCCTTGGTAGACACCTGCTCTAAAACATGGGGTTCAAGATGGGGGGACCCTTTTACCTGATGGGTTTCTGTGCATGGGAATCATGAGGCAGCTCAGCATCCTTTTCCAGACTGACTTCTAGGTTTTTATCTAGAATGTATCCTTCAAGGGAAAGAGTGCAGACTTTTCTGCTTTCCTGGCCAGTCTTTGTCACTGTTATTGATGGAGGTCTCTCTGGGATGCTGGACACTTGAGTTAGTGAATCATTGCTATAGATTTTGTTTTCCCGTACATTTCTTGCATGATGTATGGGAATGAGAGCTACAGCGTCTGATGTTAAGTAGTATTCCTAAGTACTTCTCGCTCTTGTTTTTGAGTTTGTTTTAAAATGACATTATTTTTTAAAGTACATTAAAAATTTTAAGTAATATTGTTTTTACCTATAAAGGAGAAAATTAAAATGTCTCATGATTCTTCCACCTGAATGATCCCTGTTGATGAAAATAGTATTGTAAGTACAAGATAAAACAAAAACCACCTTTCCATCTTCCCTTCTCTACTCCAATCCCTCTCTCCAGTGTTTCTCTGCTTTTTTCCAGAAAAAAAATATATTTATGTCTATCCTTCTAAGAGTATCATATGATAATACTGTTAGATGCCTTGCTTCCTAAGTTAGTAGTTTATCTTGGGCACATTTCCATCAACAAATAACAGACTTACCTTAATCTTCCTAAATGGGCCATAGGACTGATTCATCGCTGGGATGTCCCAGAGTTTACCCAGCCCTCCAATGAAGAGCTCTCTGGTTCCAGGCTTTTGCTGCATGAACCACCCTGTGGTGAATATCTTTGTTGATAGTATCTTCAGAAACATTTTATTAGTCCAGCTGTCGTCGGTGTGATGCCTAGTAGTGGGGTGGTCAGACAAAGGCTATGTGCCCTTTTAGCTTTGAGGGCATCACTGTCCAGAAAGGTTCCCCGAGATCAGCATGCCTGTTTGCCTGTTTCCTTAGGATCCTTGCCCACAGTGGATAGCACACAAGTGAAAAGGAAAAAATCTGTATTCCAATAACAATGAAATACAAAACAACCAGGAATAATTGTTTAATATTCATGTGAAGAAAACTTCAATATGCACCTGAGGAACCCCAAAGAAGTCTTGAATAAACAAAAATTATGCCATGTTCTTGGATGGGTACTCAAAGCCTGATGAAAATATTCATTCTTCTTCCATTAAGCTATAATGTGAACATGATCCAATAAAAATATCAACAAGATTGTTATTGGAGGGGGAATTTGGTGAGCTGATTTTAAAAAGTATTTGAAAAAACAAGTAAGAATAGACAGGAATATTCAGAAAGTAAACAGGAAGATAAGAAGAGTCAGGAAATAGCTTAAGCAGATATTAAAGCATAATATGAAACTAAAATTGTTAAAATGGATGAATGGATCATAGCCATAAACTTAAATATATTCAGGGATGTACTATGTGATAAAGATGACATCTCAAATTAATGAGGAAAAATGTGTAAACCTTGGGGGAAATATTTTAATTCATATTGCATACATTCCAAATGGATCAAAAATTTATACGTAAAAAAGGAAATACGCACTACAAGATATCACAGGAGAATTATCTTATAATTCTAGTTCTTTCTGCTCTGACATGAAACTCAGAAGCCATTGAAGACAAGATTGATAAATTCAACTTCATAGAAAATTCTTCATAGCAAAACCCCACCTTCTGCAAAGTTAAAAGACAACAAATCGAGGAAAGATATTTGCAACTGGTATCACAAATAAGAACTATATTTCCTAATATATAAAGAGGTTTTACACACCAAGAGAAAAGGCCTATAAACCAGTAGAAACTAGGCAAAGATTATGAACAATTAACAGAAAAGAACACAGGTAGCATTTAAACGTGAAATATTCAATTGGAAACACAAATTACATAATAAGAGAACTATAAATCGACACCTCACTGTGAGATTAGCCAGTGATTGTGTATCACTGATGAGAGGTAGATTTATCTGAGCAACCCTCAGCAATTCCACACCGAGGAATTTGCTTTTCAGAGGTATTATATGAGCGATAGTTTTCATTGTGGCATTAGTTATAAAAGCAAAAGTATGAATAAATTCTGGTACATCGTACTGTGATACACTGTGCATCTGTAAAAAGAACAAGGAAGAGTTCTCTTTACTATTGTTGAATGGACTCTAAGAAAGCTGTGCTGGTAGTTGATAAAAGTGATTAAAAACCAAGTGCATTAATGTTATGCTACCAATTGTGTAAAAAGGGAGGGAGATAATGTAGACTTCTTGACTTTGTGTGTGAATTCAGTCATTGTCAACATGTGTGTAAGAAAATGGACAATACTGATTGCCTGAAGGGAAAAGGCCTGGGAGGCAGGGGCTAAGGCTGGGATACAGTTTTCACTGTATATATGCTTGTGCCTTTTGAATGTTGAATTTTGTTTGGTTTCTTAAATTTTTTCAATTCAAAAAATGTAAAATAATTCAGTAAGTGAAAAATATTTGTTTTGGCACATGTGGTTCTAATGTTTAGTTAATTTGGGTATCTTTTCAAATAGTGATTCGATTTTTATGATTTTTTTAGTCAATTGCCTATTCATATATTTTGCCCATTTTTCTTTGCTTTTTGGAGGGGAGTGGTTTCTTTGCAAATCAAGAAAACCACCATTTTGTTATAAATATCACGGAAATTATTTTCCAGTTTGTCTTTTGAGCTTGTTACTGCTGCTTTTGCCACCCGGCAATTTTATATTTCCTCACAGTTCTTGTCATCTCCTCCTTCCTCTTCTTTTCTTTCTTTTTATTTTTTTGAGGGAGTAGAAATGGGTTTTTCAGTATAACTCTTAGAAAATTGACTCTAGGCTTACCAATTGCCAATGTCTCTGGATGAGCTGGAAAATAGCCAGCTGCTTAGAAGTTCTCTTTGAAGACAGTAGTGAAGACAGGAACGAACTCGTTTTACCAAGGGGTGACCGACAGGCTCTCTGGAAGGGCCAGGGCAGACGGACTGGGGTGGGGTGGGGTAAGGCAGGCGGTTCTGGTGTGTGTCTGATGGACCTTTCCTCTCTCCACTCCAGCCGAGCTCCCGCGGTCCTCAGCAGTGAGGCTGGCCTCCCTGCGAGACCTGCCCGCCCAGCTCCTGGACCTGTACCAGCAGGGCTTCCTGCTGGTGGCCCTGCACCCTTTTGTGCAACCAACCCACAAGCAGGAGAAGACACCCCTTGAGCACATCTTCAGGGCCATCCTGATCAAGAAAACCGACAGGTAAGGCCTCTGAGGTTGGCACCAGGAGGTGGCCAATGTATATTGTCAGGGCCTCTGCCCTCTGACAGGTAAGACGTTAAGATGGACAGCCAGAGAAGTCTCCTTGTGTCCTGTCCACGCCTGACTGCATGAGTAGAGCATCCCCTCTTACACCCTTTCCCCCTTTAACTTAATGGATTAAACTCAGCTGGAAGAATGTCTCTTCTGAAGAGGTGCACTTGCAGAATGACACAGCCAATTAAAGTATAATACTACAGCCAGAAATGCATGGCTACACAACACACTCATTTTTTAAAAAGCTACGTACAAACTTAATGTCTTTCCCCAAACTCTAGAAATACTTGACCATTTTGACCCTACCGTAAGTTCTGCTACCCACTTTGGAGGAAAACCAAAATCCACCTGAATCTAGTGCTATAATTGATTTGGTCTTGATTTTGATTTTCTAGGTTTCGAGGGTGTTTTTCAGGATAGCTTGCTCAATGGAATGCTTACTTACTCTTACTGTATTTTTATTGGGTCTAATAAGGAAAAGAGAGACTAATGTTGGTATCTCAAAAGGAGCTATAAATAATGGTCTTAAATAATTTTTAAACAGGGAAGGTGGGATAGAAAATACGGTATGTTTTTGCTGCTGCTGTAAAAATAAGAATTGAAACAAAGTCTGGCAGAGGAAAATAGATCTGTCCTTTGACCTTCTATCATGGGAGGATGACAACATGGGCCATATTTTAAAAACAGGGAGAGTGCAGCATGACTCCTTGCTTTTCTCTCTTTTTACAAGTTGCTTTGCCAGGTAGACAACAAACCCTGGGCTTTTGAGCCCAGGAGGGACAGCTAGAGGCAGGAGGCCGTGTGACTGACTACCTGGGCTCCTTCTTCCTGGCAAGCTGAGTTCTTCATTTCTTCATGGCTGACCGAGCTCTGGGGCTCTGAGTCCGAGTTGACATGCACTAGAGTCTGAAGTGAAAGATAGCATGAGCCTTTGCTCATGTGCGGATTCACCACGGTATTTGTAGAATGAAACTTTTTCCTTAACATCTACCTTTCTGACGTATTTGTTTCTTTATGTTGATGGGCTGTGGATCACTATCTGGGTCAATCCCAAGAGGAAGTTGTTTGGAAGTGGTTTCAGGTTCCACTGACACAATGAGACATACATGATGACTAGAGGTCACATTCATTGAGCACTTACTGTATGCTAGGCCTTATCAGTGTCATTATCCTCATAATCAGCCCACGAAATGGATATGATTTTTGTTTCCATTTTAAAAGTGAGGAAGCTAAGATCCAGACTTGGAGGTATTTGTCTAGGTCATTAATGAGCCTCCTTTCTAGAAGAGGAAAATGGGTCAACATATTAAGAAGGATGAGAGATAGGTGTGCAGGCAGGTTTTCAAGAAAGAGAAGGTGGCATTCTCCTTGCATTTAAGTTCGCTCAAGACCAGAGTGCCCAGATTACCGGCCTGGATGACCTTAATGAAGATTCTAACTCCTGGATGAACAGATACAAGAAGGAAATTCCTTGGATAACTTCGGGTGGGTCTTCTTTGAAACTGCACTCCCCCACCTTGTTTTTTTTTCAGAAGTTGCAAAAGCTTGGTAATTTACTAAGGGTGGTGATGAGAATGGCAATATGCCATTCTTATTGCAAAAATGACCAAGAGAATTTACACCACTTTCATTTCCTGTTAGTAGCGTGTGGGAGGAGCAGCTGGTGATAGTGGGAAAGCAGGCATTCATTATGCAGTGTCATTTTAAAGCACAGGCACTCTGTCTCCTAGGAAATGCAGTAACCATGTTTTTGCATCGTGGAGAAAATATTCCATACTATTAAAATTAAACAATCAAAAAACCCCACAATAGAACCTTTTCTGTAGAGAGTTTAAGTAGTAGAAACAAAACAAATCTTCCGTGATTAATTTTTAATACAGACAGTTATGATATTTTTCACAAAGCCTGCCAGAATTCTGACAGCTTTAGATGCTATTAAATGAAATGATTTCATTGTCCAAGAGGAAATTAATGCCTGCCTAATATTTCATAAATAGGCCATATTGAAAGAGGTGCAGATACTTTCTAGATTACTGTCAGTCCAGATCAAGTTCATTAGCAAGAATCACCATGAGATGACTTGGATATTAAGTTTAATGTGTTTGAAAGGTGAATGTAAAGTTTTTGGCAAGTAACTAGGCTTTAGGGTATACAGCAAGACCAGGAAAAAGAACAGAACCCTACAAGCTTACATTTATTCATTCACTCACTCATTCATCCATTCACAAACACTTACTGAGCTTGTATTCTTTATAAATGACATACCAGGAGCTCTACTTTATGGGAGGATAGAGAGTGCAGATGGAAGTTTTGCCTGGGCCTGGAGCCTACCTTCCAGGCACCTATAGTTTAACTAAGAAAATAAGACAGTGCACTCCAGGCCATGGGAGTGTGGGAAAAGGAGAAGTTACTTCCTGCTGGAAAGGAAACTAAAGAAATGTTTCCGGAGGAAGTAGCTTTTAATTTGGACCTGGTGTTAGGGGCAAACATAGGGATAATGCACATGAGGTGAGAGGATTTTATTTGTCTTATAATGAAATGTTTTCTAGTGGAATTTGAGTAATTTGAGAGCATCATTGACAGTTTAATTGGATTATTAATGAGTCATTCCCAAAGCTCAGTGCAGTAACATTCCTCTGAACCCTCTATCATTTTGACAAATTTCACTTAAATTCATGAAAAATTGCCTGATCTTTTCTTTTGAAAATTCTTTTGAAATGTCATTATGGGATGCATGGCAGGCCAAATCACACATCCAGCTATAAATCGTTAATCCTAAGTGTGTTGAATTTAAAGTCAGTTACTTTGAAAACTGACTCCAGATGAATAGAATAGCTGAATGAGATACTTTATAAGCAAGTAGAGAGTCTACTGCCTTCTCTCTAGTCTTTCTTCAGAACACGTAGTGATTTTCACAGACAATATTGTTGCATTCACTCCAAATTCTAAATACAGTTGTCCTTCATTTTGGGGGGCAGTTTTCCTTAGAATGAGTTGCCAGAGATCTCAAAACGTGATGACTAAGAGAAGTCAGTTATTAAAATGTCACTTATGGTGTTTGATGAGTGTGGGCTTAATTCTAGGTCATTCTATGGCTGTAGACGTAAGTACAAAAATGCTTTGTGCTGAGTAATTTTTCAGCTGTTGAATTGTCATTGTTCACACACAGAGCTAGTTGGAGGTGCCAGGGATGTGTTTTTCATCACTAATAAGTTGAAGTCATATGAGTTCAGGTCCCCTAGAATAATACCCCTTGGGTGGTATGGAGGATCAGGATATTTGTGAATTCTGTCCACATTTTGGCCTAGGGTCTGGAGGTGGGGCACACAGAGGAACTGCAGCTAATGGAAGGGGTAGGATTCTGAATCCCCGTTTCGAGGTGGAAAAGTGCATATAATCAAAACTGCCCTTGAAAATTTCTTTAATTGCCCGTGATATGTAATATGATGGCATCTCTACCTGACTGATGCATGTTTTCCTTCCCAGCTAGATCAGATTGGTGTTTCCAGCAATGAGTCCCTTGGGGAAGTAGTTGGTTCGGGTTTACTGTGAGTGTTCATTAGAATCACACCGAGGGTGCTGAGATGCTTGCACCTAGAGAGGTGTGTGTGGGAACTGAGATTGAGAAAACAGGATCTCCACGCCTCCCATCTCACATCCATTCTGGGGCACATCTGCCTGCTGAGGAGAATAACTGGCACTGTTTTAAGTGGTAAACGTTCCTCCCTTTCAGTTAGATTTTTCTAAGATAAGCATGTGCTATAGCTTCGCTATGCAAAGATGATTCTAAAGAGCAGCCAGATCACAAGAAACTTATCTACTGGGGGGGGGGGGTGTAAAATATATGTGCAAATTAAGTGAATGTCCAGCCAGATCTGTGGGTCTCTGTTCTCACCTCTCACCTGGAATTTGTTAATGGAGGTTCCCTAGAGGGGGAGGCTCTGAAGTCTAATTTGCTCTGTGTCTGGAATGATGGGTAGATTTTTGAATGGGGGCACAAGTGGTGAGAAGGGTCCCCCAGGCGGGCAGACTGGCCTAGGGGAGCTGGGGCCTGGGAAAGCAGACCGAGGATGATATGGGGCGACTGGCGCACGAGGTGCAGAGGAAAATGGGGAGAAGCACGGGGCCTGGGTCAGGAGGCCTCTGACGGCTGAGCAGAGGAGTTTGAACTTCATGCTGAAGGCCATGGGGAGCCAGTGCAATATATTATTTTTTGTAGAGGAACAGCCACTAGAGGAGCTGAGTTTTCAAAAGCTTAAGAGGGAAAGCATAAGAGGGGAAGAAAATGGAAGCTGAGAAAACGTGGCGATAGTTGTAGTGGGAGAGGATCTGTGACGAGAGTAGGTTGTAGTAAGACGATCAGGAAGATAGATGTGAGATTTCCCATAGAAGGAAAAACTGGATTTAACGTTTAGGAATTTAATGTGAGGAAGGAGATGTGTCTGGTGGGGTTTTACCAGAAGCAGACCCTGATAGGATCCTTAAAGAAATGCTTCCAGGAGGAATCAGGAGTGAGGACATGGGATAGAGGGGGAGGAAGGTACCAGGGTTCAGTGTCAGCCTCAGCCTGATCCTGGGGGAAGTGGTGAGTGCACCTTGAGGCTGGGCAACTGGCTTTCACCCTCCTGTACCTGAGAGCCATTTCCCATGAGCTGCTCCAGACACTTAACAGGTCTGTAGCACATCCAGGTGGAGCAGTGCCAATAGCCAAAGATGACCTCAAGTCATGCAAAGGCCGAGGGTACACACAGAACCGGGAGGGGGACTCTGAGGGCATTTGGGTGGAACATGGACAGCATCTACCACAAGAGAAGCGTGGACAGCATTGGTTTGGTTGTATCATGTTTGTGGCAGTTGCTGTCAGTAGGATGTCCACTGGGAGGTGTCCACAGGGCACTCAGGAACCAGGAGAGAAGTCTGAGCTGTGTGAGGCTATGGTGAGCCCT